TATATATGTGCATATATCTGCACACACATGTGATTTATGTGGTTTAAAATACTGATGATAATATTTTATGTGTGTATTTCACATATGTTAACAAGTTCTGAAGTGCATTAGACAGATTTCTATTCCACATATGTTTTCTTTATGTGGCTAGTGAAATCTCTAATTCACAGATTTTATATTTAGAAATTATCTCATATAGAATAATACAGGATGATAAGGCTTAAAACTGTGGGTTTGTATTTAAAAAAATCAGCAACAATGAAAAACAAGAGTAAGTTTCTTCAGCTTTGAGGCAGTAATAATTTACATGTCAAGAAGTTATACAGGTTTTTATGAGATTATGGCAGTTTTATTCAATAAAAAAATAGTTACCATGACAACAACTGTCATGCTACCTGTGAGATTATAGCAAAGAAGAACAGTGAAGAAAAGGCTTCATTTTGGAAGGAATGCTTATCTGACCTGCTGAATACAAACAATGCTTTGCTTTGACCACTACTGACTGCAGGGCTGCTATCAGCCAAACTCAAAGTCTAGCTAGAGATTTTAAAGCATAGTGATCCTCTTAGAAAAACAAAAGAGTTGATAAATAATAGTAGGTCTTTTTCATGCAAATATACTTTTAATGCCCTCTCAGATTGGTAATTGGATTTCTGAATGAAATGGAGATTTCAGCCTGTCAAGATTTGGGAAGAGTAGGAGAGAAGGAGTGAGGGAGACCAGAAAGAGCATCAGAAAAGGAAAAAAAAAACCAAAACCCCAAAGCTGAAAACAACCAACCAACCAAACCCTAACCAAAACAGAAGTCACTGGGGAAGATGAGAAAACCTGATGCCACTGGGTTACATTATGGACACACTCTTTATTTTCACCAGACATTACATCTTTCAACAAAATGGTTGCTTCATTGAATATGGATTAATGTAAATTTCTGGCACTGACTATGCGTTACCTTCTCTTGAACATGCAAGTTTGATTTTTATTTTTTTCTGTACACACATTTCACTGCCACACCAAAAAATTAACTTTTGTACTCCCTGTGGCAGAGTATGCATTTTTCTTTCTGACTAATGTGCAGGATCTATACCCTGACTTGCACATAAAAACAAACGCAATACAACAGAAAAGCACTAGCTGAGCACACATATCTTATTTTTATGATGGCTTTTAATCTTAGTTTGCCAGCAAACACAGGCTTTCTTACCTACCCATATAAAAATACTTTTATTGTTAATTGCATCTCTGATTGCTAGCCTGTTGCAAAGAGAAACTATGGGACCTGACACTAACAGAGTAAAACAATCAGCAATGGTTAGTGGCTAAATCACATTAGAAGTGTTCATTAATTAAAATCTGTTGAATCACTGCAGTCCATATTTAATCACAGGGTCATTAGGATTGCGGAAATATACCTCAAAAATGCAGAAAGTTTTTCAACTGAACATCTTAAAATTTGTCACATCTATCAAAAAATGGGTTTGTTTTACATAAGGCAATATTAGGTGCATAAAGAAAAAGGGAAACAGTGATTATGTTGTTGGACCAGATTATATAAAACTGCTATATTATTGTAATTAGGACAACAATGACTTGGATTATAATAGTGGCTTTCTTGTAAAAATGGCACCATTTCAAATTTATAGTCTCAAGCTAAATTAGTTTGTTGTAGCATTGACGAAGAAACACACACAAGCCAAATGTGGTCAAAATTAAACACAAACAGAAAGCTTAGCTGTTTATTTTCTGGGTAGAACCCAGAATGTTGTTTTTCAAAGAGCATTTACTTAATAAATGTTCTTCCCTGCATTCTTAGTGCTTTTACAATGCAAAATTTGTATCTTTAAAACTGTAAGCACATTATGCATGTAAAAATATTTATGTGCATGTAGTTTATAACTGTAATGTCTGTAGTGGAGTAAAATCCTACTAAAATATTGATAATCCAGAGCTCTAGACCAAAGCATGGAGAGTTCTGCTGTGCTTGGGAGATTGCCTAACTAACAGCCAAGGTGGCTGTGAGTTCCTTTCTTCTGCATTTCTTTTCACCCTAAGGAGTCTCTCAGTTCTCCAGATCTTTTGTTCATGCTTAGTTGAAAAGGGTTCTGTCACTTATGGGAGTGAGAGAGGTGTCCTTTTTCTGGACACTTAACATCTTGCAGTGGAACCAGAGCAGCACTGATGTAACAACATCCTCTGCAGCTGCAGAGAGGACAGAGTTTGCTCCTTTGTATACTACTTAGTGTCAGTGTGAACATGGTAATGTTTCACACCTGCAGAAGATTTGATTCATTGCATAAAACAAACAAAAAAAAAAAATCAAATTAAAGGTGGTAAAACTTAAACTATGTAAAAGCTCAACTAGTTTCAATAGTGGAAGTAATTTCTTTAATTTCTGTTTCATGATTGCTTACATCTTTCATAAACAATTTTCATCAATAAGATATGGGGAGAAAATTAGTGAATTTAAGAGACGTTCTCAGAACTGTGTATGATGGTCAGAAATGAAGTGCTGAGTGGCAGAGACTGGCAGTGTAAGAAATTGATTTCTAGGAGGTGGGAGAGTATTCTATTTTTCCATTCCCTTCATTAGTTTTATTAGTTTTATTACAGTCACTTCAGGTGACCTGTAAGGGAAAGAAAAAGAAGAGTTTGGCATTTTTCATAATGAGTGAATGGGAATACTGACTATTATGTATGTATTTTTAATGTATGTGTAAATTTCAGAAAAACCTGGAGTCTCAGTAAGTGATTAAATTATTTTATATCGTAAGGAAAAAATCTTGAGAGTTGAGCATCAGGATTGGAAGCAGTATTAGACACTGATTGCTTGTTTTATTAAGGAGTATTTAACTTCAATGTCTGATGAACACTTGGGATAAAGGATGCGTTTATCAAAGAATCAGCATATCAATTTAAGTTGAAATCTTAAAATAAATATCTATAAATTCTTCAGGCATTCTCAAGTGAAATAAGAAAAGAATAGACATTATATGTCAAATCTTTCTAAATAAGCAATGTAATTATTTCTGAAGTCCTTTGAAATGAGAGCCAGCTAGGCAAATCAAACATAATCTCCAGGAAGTCAACAGTTTCATTTCTTTATTTTCCTTTGTGTATAAAGTATATCATGGAAACAAAAGGGAACAGCCTAGATAAAATACTCACAAAAATTTTCACTGTTCTGTGATGAGCCTTATCTTATTCCAGCCCTGTCCCATTATATGATGTTCTGCACAAACCTCGTCTGCTTTAGGAGATCACAAAACAGAAATTTTATGATAGCAGCCAATCCCACAGAAACTTAGTACATCACCTGCTATTTGTTTGAATCCAATTGAAGAAAGCACTGACCTCTACATTCATATTTGGTATCACACACGGGACAGCAGCTGAGAACTGCAGGATATGTTCTGCTGGGATCGTGGAGCCTGAATTCTGCGAGAGGGAGGTACAGCTTGGCTAAGAGGTTGCTTGCTGTAGGAACAACAAACTGGTGTATGAGTCACAGAAGATGAACCAACAATGTATGTGAGACAATTTGGATTATTTGCTTCCCTTCATTGATGTTCTTCCCCTCTAAGAACAGATACATTTATACTGGTAGCCAAAATAAATGACCAGTACAAGCCATAGGTATTTTTTTTTTCTCTAGTGAGATGTATTTCTGCAACCAGCATTCCCTTCCCTGGACATTATCCAGTTTTTCCCAGGCAGCAAACCCTCTACAGGTTCAAACACCGCAGAACTTCCGCTTCCTAAGTGAGTTGTTACCAATCCCTCTAGACACTCTCAAATCATACTGGCCTCATCCTAATGTTCAGAGCAGCCAGGTGGGAAAGCCTGAAATAGAAGCCATTGGATGATATGCCAATCATCTCTAAACATGCAAATATTCATCTACATAATATGCATGTACTGTAACACGCTAAATTGCCCAAAGCTGTGACAGTAACTTGCCATACAGAGGAAGAAGAAAAGAGAGCACAGTGCAAGGCCATACCAAAGGGATCTCCTCCCCCACTAGTTTACTGTTCCTGTCCTGAAGTGTTGTGTGATTTGGATTCAGCAGCACACAAAGTGTGAGAGGGAAGGGGGGATTATTTTTATTGTCATATCGAGAAAGGGGGGTAGACACTGTAATTCTTTTCCTTTCTGAGCATAAGAACCATAATTCAGCCCTTAACCTCTCTCTTACTCTTGCTTTATCTCCCTCTCTAGATATTGTCTTTATTGTGAGCCTAATTAATGTCATCATTATATTTTAGTCATTCAAAAAACAAAGGACTCCTCAGCAAGCTTAATGTAACTTACTGAATTTAATTCAATTTTGCTTTTTACAGAAATGGAAAGGGCAATTTCCTTAATTTTTTCTTCTGGGTTTTTTTTTTTTTTTTTGGACAGAGTATGGAATTTTGTAACTGGCTAGACAATGGCCCCCTCAGTGGCAGAGACTCATTTCAGAGACAATAGATGTTGTCCTCACTCTGTCACTGTGGCCACATCAAACCATTCTTACAGCTGCAAGCCAAGAGAAGAAAAAAAAAACCAACCTTTTTATTATTGCTTTTCTATGTAGTCTCTGTAACTTTTCAAGGTTCTTTCAAATGTGATTCTACAAATCTTCAATGCAATATATTATATTGAATTAGTAACCTTGTATTTCGTACCCTTTGATATGATTCCTGTGCAAATGCTTGAAGTCTACACAGATTTATCAGGTAGCTTTAAATAAGAAGCCTTAAATAATACAGTTACTAAAAAGGTTTTTCCTTTACCCAGAAATTCAGTCTGCTGGCATATATCATCTTGAAGGAAGATATTTTGTTTGTGTTCCACAAGTAAAATTTTAAGTTATTACTGTTTTTTTTCTTTTATTATTGTCATACACCTCACAAATTTCTTTGAAGTTTCAAGGAAATTGATTTTTGTTTCAAATTGTGTTTTGAATAAGTTATGGAAATTTCTAGTGAACATTAATTTTATATATTCTTTTTATTTAGGCACTTTTGTTACTAAAGTCACAGCTACAGATGCGGATGATCCAGTTTATGGAAATAGTGCCAAACTGGTTTATAGCATTCTAGAAGGACAGCCTTACTTTTCTATTGAGCCACATACAGGTAGGTGACTGAATTTGAATCCCTGGCTTATATTTACACAAGAGGCCGTGCCTCTTACCTATTTCATATAATATGTTTAAACAGGGAGCATAAGTAGACGTCTGTCAGTATTACTGAGTTGTAGCACATCTCACTTGTATTATAGCAGAGTCTGATCATGTGAAAAGACAAATAAAAACCTGTATTAATGATAATGTAAGTAATGGCAATGGTAACATTACAGAAGTTACTGAAGCAAAATCAAAGGTAGTGGGAGTGCCATATGACTTATAACTAATTCGGGTTTGAAAGACTTGGGCTGAGGGATTTAATGAGCATAATGTAATTTTCAATATGAGACTAAAGCATTTCCAGTAAGGAAAGTACAGTTTAACTTGGGAATTTTAGTGAATGTATCATGTGTTTTCATTAAAAAATATTTTTCTTTCTTGATTGGGTGGATGAGGGGAAAGAACAAACATGATACTGAGTGTTGGGATGAAGTTTTATTAGTATGCGTTGAGGATTACTTTATTTCTCTGTGGTTTTAAAGTCTTGAAAGTAATCTGAAAGAAGTGTCAATAAATCCATTCCCTCTTGTTTCCTGTACATATGTCGTACTTACAGCAAATTCATTTATTTATGTTTGAGAAGTGTTTTTTTAAAGTGTTTTGGTATTATTTCTTATATTCTTTCACCTGTTACTAGAAGCAGATTTTAATCACTGTAAGTCAAGCAGCTGAGATCTCCTAAGGAGAAGAAAACTATAACTAATTTTAAAGCATATAAGAAGATGTCTGAATGTATATCCCCATAAAGGAGTAAATTAAGGAGTAAAAATTATTGTTCTCATGCAGATTAACAGAATTGTGAAATAAAAGCTAGGAAAAATAATTAAAGGATGCTTTTGATAGATCAAGTGTGCTAAACTTTTTCACCAGCATTAAACAGAGTACACTTAGACTCTTTAAAATCTGGAAATTCTTTAACTCTTTCTGGTGAGATTACATGGGAAAAATTATTTCCCTTTCCTAAAGGTGCCCTAATTTGCCAGGTCTTTAGGCAAATAGTGTAGGCTGGTAAATATTAATAAGATAATGGATTAATCCATTGAGGTATTTTCTTCTGGGTGAAGGACAGGTATCCTCAGCATGAAAACAATCTCTGAAATGTGATTCATTATTTATGCTGCATGTAAAATAGAGTTTTACAAAAAAATAACTTTAGTACAGCACAATGGAAAAACAGTAGCTTGTTTCAAAATAAGTGTGTCAAGGGAGTATTAGTGAAGCACCTTAGTTCATACTGGCTGATTTCTCACAAGTCATGTGGAAATGTGACTCTGAACAGACCCCTGACCATCAAGTATCAAACTATATGATTTGGTTTTCTTTAATATTACAAATCATCGCATGCAGTAATGACTTGAGTTAGTTGTCATAATTAGAGTAGGATTAGCTGTAGGCTCTTTCTCAGTTTCTACTAGAGAAAGTTAGTGCTTTAGCAGGTGTAGCACTCCACCTACACGGAAAATTTTTCACTTCTTTCACACAAAATAGCCTAAAAGAAAATATTACAAATGTAAGAGTTCTTTTTCAGATTATTTAATTTTACTCAGGTTTAGTATTTGTACTGCATTAAAACCTTGTGCTTAATCCAATGAAGCAACTATTCATTACCTAGGAAAGTGATTTCTGTTATCATGAAAGCCAGGAAAAACTCCAAAGCTTTTTGGTGAACCTGAAAATCATGATTTTTCTCCTGTATCACTAGCATTAAAATCCCCCTCCTACCTTCATTTCCAGTTACAAATATTCTTTTGAGTGGAAGTTCAGTTACCATGAAAATTACATGTTCATTTTAAAAGAGAGTTTAATAATAAAGCTGTAGCTTTGCCACAGTTCCTGAGTAAGTGGCTTCATATTATGGAGCTGCTTCTGAATGAATAAGTGGTTTCAGATTCCTCATTTTTCTAAATCTGTGGAGAACATCAGTTATGTTCTTCTATAAATCATTACAACTGTATGAGTTTATGTACTGAGGCCGTCTTCTTTTTCTTTGTTATTTCTGCATAATGGCTTTTATCTGCAGTGTATCTACTGTACTACTCTTACAGCTACCCACCCAATAGTTTGTTAAATCTGGAGGGTATGCAGTTGTTTCTATGAATTATCCGTTGCTTGTAATGTTTTAAAATTTGCAGAATTTGTTCTTGTGTCTGAGATGCCTCTTCATTCGCTTAGAGAAATCTTAGCCATACTAAATGTTAAACTGAGTAGATCCCTCCAGCATACATTTGTTTAGGTTATGTAAACAGCAAGTATACATAAAAGTGTAGACATTAAGAAAAGCAAATGCCTGTGGTCATGTAGAAACTGCAGCCGCTTATTACACAGGGTGAAAAAGGTTGCTTGAAAACCCAGAAGCCTTATAGTTGTGATTCTTCTGAAGAGAAGTATTGATTTTAGAAAATGCAAAGAACCATGCAGCAGATTTTCTTGGTAATGCTGGAATTCTAGAGCAAGGATATGATAATGTTTATTACTTACCAGAGAGTTTTATGGGTTGTTACATGCAGTCTCAAAATGCCAATAGTATTATGCTAAGATAGCTACAATTTTACAGTAGCTTGTGGCACTGTATATATCACCTTTTATAGGTAGTGGTGCATAAAACACGCACACTAATTCAGCAGCTGTATAATTTGGACAGCAGTGTTGTTACCATGGACAGATCGAGTGGAAGGTGCATTTTAACAAAAAGAAAATGTCCAAAGCAAATAGAAAGTATGTTTGGTTGTTTGTTTATATTTCTCCAACCTTAACAATGTGAACCATCAAAGCTAAAATTTGTTTCCTCTTAGTAACTAGGCCAGAAGAACACATTATCTTACAAGTTTGTAAGTAGTGCTCAGGAAACCTTTCAAGTTTTCATGTGGGAAGGTGTTTGAGTGCTATCATGACAGTATACAAATTAAAGGAGAACGGCCAGGTATTGTAGTGTCTTATCCAAAACAAATCAAGCATGAAGTTGATACTCCAAGTGTGATAGGTATTTTAGGGTTTGGGGTTTCTTTGGTGGGGGAAAGGATGTGGATGTGTGTATAGCTACATTTTCTCTGTGGTTACGTTTCATTAGTGCCCCTGCTAAATTAAAAGCCTTTTCAATTCATTTGAAACAGGATTGTTTCTGAATACAGATATCATATGCAGCACTGTGTCTTTCCCACCATGGAGTCACTGTTTTAAGAAATGAACTATGTTAAAGTGATCCACTTCAGAATGTAAATATTTTCTGTCATTCGTGGGAATGAATCAAATGTTATCAAAATTATAGTTACTTAGAGCTCATCATCTTAATATTTTTCTAGATGACTAGCCTTTATTAGCTGTGTTTATTAGAAATTAAGACTAGATTTAGATCTGTGCAGCTACCGGCACCAGGGCAGCCATAGATAGTCTATACTGCCTATAATTTTTCTAATTTCCTGTCTCAAACTAAAGATTGTCTGTCCTTGCTGCTTTGTTTTAATGGTACGCTGAGAGCTGACTGTGAGAAGTAACCACAGTCATGCCACCTGATTTCTTTTCCTTCTGTAGTACTCTGAAAAAAAAAAAAAAAGAGGGAGCAAAGAAGTAGGATATGGCTTTATGTCTATGGTAGAAAGGGTTTCTACATCTGAGAGTAAACCTGAGGAAAGCAGTTGCTTACTCTTCTGCTTTTCTGTTCCTTCTAACTTGACATTAACTAGGTGTAGTCCTTATCTGAATCAGGCTCTTGGTTGAAACTCTGACATTGCTCTCAACCTCCTTGCTGAAACAGTTCTGTAATGCTGAGTGCACTGAAGTATGGTAAGTAACCCATAAACCAATACTTTTCCATTACCTTGGATGAAAAATGCATATAGTTCTGAAGTTCTAGTTTGTAAATTCTTCTGTACGAGTTATAGATGCACAAAAGAAGGTAGTTCAGAAGTTATTTTTAATTCAGTGCTCTGAATATGGCTTAGGGTAAATGCTTTTTTGATGGTTTACTCTGAGTATTTTTCATAGGTGAATTTTAATTTCACCACTGGTTTATGGGATAAAGAGTAAACATAAGTAATACATTACAAAGATACAGATTCAGATTTTCTATCAGAGGCTAAACCTACAATGTGATGACATCAGATTAGTAACAAAATTCACCTTAGACTAAAATATATTCAGTAAGTAATTATCATTACATCTGACTGACTCATGTCAGGTTTCCTGACAAGTGTGTATTATTTATAAAGGTATACAACTTGTATGTATTATCTCACAATCCAAATGATGACATAAAAATGCTGAGGAAAGGGATTCCTTAAGACTGCTAAAAGTAGCTAAAGTACACTTTCCACTTTTAAGCTTTTTCAAGTATATTAAATCACGACTGTCAGCTCTAAAATAAGATTATCATAATGGAACATAATATGAAGTGACATTGTGTTTTACAATATAGGAATGGCAGAGAAAATACTTTTTCAGCTGTGTCTGACTTATTTACATTTCACATGAACTTACTGTCACTCCTACACATACATGAAGTATAGTTACATGAACAAGGCAAATTGCACCAAACACCCTACTGCACTGGAAAACACACTGTATTATTCAAGCATAAACCCTTAGTATATATGAAAAAGAATAGATTTTAAACACTGCCATCTTGGATGTGGTCATTTGGTACAAAGTCAAAGTTCAATTTAGTAAAGCCAAGATGAATACAAGAGTTAGGAGTCCTAGATAACTGAAGACTCTTCTAATAGAATATAAATAGTTCTTTGGAGAGTGAATGTTGATCTTTTTTCTAGCTTTAATTTCCATGTGAAAGTGGACATGTTTTAATCAACAGACCTTTAATGATTTAGTATACAGCCCTCTCTGGACCACAGTGTTGAACTTGCAACATCGTGTGGTTCTGAAATCAGAACATAAATAAGTAGGCCTAGGAGGAATGAAAATGACATTCAGCAGAAGTCAGGTCTTAATCTTTTATTT